CCTCCTCCCCCTCTCCCCCTCTCCCCCGTCCCCAGCTAGGCCCTGCCAGGAAATTCTTCCAAAAGTGTCACCACGAAGGTGGGTTTAGGCCTCTGGATGTGAATCACAAGACGGCTTTGCTCTGATGATCTTTTCAGCGTGACCCTGTCGTGAACCATGTGACCAGAGTCATTGAGATCAGGCTCAGGGGAGCCAGGGTGGGGCCTGGTGACCCGCGCCGTTCTTGGTAAAGGAGAAGAAATATTCTGTGTGTGTGCACACGTGTGTGTGTGTGCGTGTGTGCGTGTGTGTGTGTGTGTGCATGTGCGTGTGCAGCCACGCTCCCGCGTGTGTCAGCCTTCTTCTGGGGTCTTCTGACGTAGCTCTGGCTGGCCTCAGACTTGCTATGTAGACCAGGTTGCCTCTGTCTCCCGAGTGCCGGACCGTGCGCCACCACGCCTGGCAGATGTTTTTACTTTTATTTGTTTATATTTATATATATTATATGTATGTTGTCTGTCTGGGAGTTTGGTGCCCAGGAGGCCGGAAGGGGGCGTCGGGTCCCCTGGACCTGGAGTCACAGGTGGATGTGAGCTACCAGGTGTGTGCTGGGAATCGAACCCAGGTCAGGACCTCCTTGAGAGCCCCCGTGCAGTTATTTTTAGGGGGGGTCCCCCTGGCTGAGGTGGGGTGTTTGGCCAATGAGGCCCAGGGACCCTCCTGTCTGCCTCCCCGGTGCTGAGATCCAGGTGCCAGCCCGGGTCCTTGGACGGGCGGTTCCTCCTCATGCCCTGTGGTTAGCACCTCACCCCGGAGTTCCAAGTCCCCAGACTCTCCTGCGCTGCTGGGGTTGCCCATCCCATCCCCCACCCCCCCCTGCGGGCTGCTGCTGAGGGCTCACACTGCTCCAGAGAGGACCCTCACCCCAGGACAATGTCTGGCCCTTCCCTCCTGGTCCCCAGGGACCTGAGCAGGCATTGTGACTGAGAAGGAAAAGCATGGGTGGCTGGACCCCAGAGTCACGGAGTGGGGAATGAATGACTGCGCGTGAATGAATGAATGAGCCAGGGAATGAATGGGTGCAATGTTAGCCTGCATGCAGCAGAAGGTACCCCAGCCCGCCCAGCCTCTACTCCACCGTTCAGCACCCCCCTCCCTAGGGACTGCCACCACACCACGTCCCGGGGGGCCTGGCACGTCCAGGGGACCGCACACCGGCCGAGACTGTCTCTGGTTTGTGAGCGACAGTCTCCGCATCCATGCCCCAGGCTGGTCCGGAATCCAGCAGCTCCTGCGGGCTGGGATGTCGGGCGGGGCTCACCACGCCCAGGTCCCCACCACGTCTTGCTGGCGACACTAAGCACGGCGGTGTCCACGTGCCCTTGGTCTCCCGGCCACTCTGTGTGTCCCAAGGTCCAGGCTGTGGAGCCAAAGTCCTTGGAGGTTCACCCCCCCCCCCAGCAGGCAGAGCTGCCGCCTCCCCAGCTAGGCTTGGCCACCGCTCACAGATGGGCCGGGGCCGGCACACCTCACCCCCGCACCTGGAAACACACGGAGGAAACACGTGTCCCTCTGCATTATAATTTATTTATTTCACATAAAAATCCCCCCCCCCCACTCGCCGGTCCTCATGTCACCATAGCGACTGTACCCATCGTCTCCATGTTCTAACTGCAGAACTCGCCGGGGGACGGTGGACATGGCTGCTCTGGGGCAAGTTTTCGAATGGATCCTGGGCATCTCTGCAGAGAAATCCAGTGGCCCTTCGCCACGAGGCTGCCGGGCCTCTGCGTCTGGCCTCAGGTGTCCCCCGGGGACCTGAAGCCTCTGTCCTGTGCGGACTGGAATACTAAGCAGTGCAGGGCTTCTCTCCTGTTCGGGGTCATCTGTGGCCACGGTTCTGGGTCCTGCTTCCCTGTGGTCGGTGGGTGCTGGTAATCTCAAAGGGGTGGTGGGCACTCCCCGGCGGCGGCGGCGGCGGCAGGGGGATAGATGTAGCAGGCAGCCCAGGGGTGGGGGCGGGACCTCAGACCCTTGAGGGCCAGCAGGATTGTGTCCGTCTGTCCCTCCCTAACACAGCTGTCCTGTGTCATGGGCCCTGGTTGTCACCGGAAGCCACCTGCCAGGAAAAGTCTCTAGGATTCTGTTTCCAAAAGCCAAGAGGCCTGGACCTGGACCTGGGGGCACCATCTCGGTTCCTCTCTTCTATCCGACGTTGGATAAACACAACTGAGAAAGCCCTCGCCAGGCTTGGGGGCACGCATCGGCCAGGCCAGCTCTCAGGAAGCTGAGGCAGGAGGATCAGGAGTCTGAGGCCAGGCCGATCTTGTCTCAGAACAAAATAAAAACCAGCACCCTGAACAACTCTCTCAGGTCCCCTCCCAAGGCCACAGAGTGGAGGCCCAGTGTGTGGGGTGTCCCCTCAGATCCACGGGTGCTGTGGGCTGGAGACCGTGACTCTTCAGGAGCAAAGGGCATGTCACAAACGCCTCACGGTGGAATCCAGCCTTGGAGAGGACAAGGCCCAGGGTCCAGTGTGTTCTTTTTACCCAGACAGGGTCTCGCTTTGTAGATCGGGCTGTTCTAGAACTCAGAGAGATCCACCTGCCTCTGCCTCCTGAGTGCTGGAATTAAGGTGTGCGCCACCAGGTCTTGAGGGAATCATGGGGGTCCCTCCTTGCAAATGTCATCTGGTCTTAAGTGCCCCTGGAGACAGGAGACTTGCTCCACACACTCCCATGGAGTCTGGACACAGTTAGCCCTGAGCGTCAAGTCATCAAGCCAGACTCGTTCTCTGACCCTGGCTTGGCGGTCAGGTGGCTTCAGTGTCCGCCCACTGGGACAGATTTTCTTAGGGGATTCCCCAGATCCTCTGGCACCCACAGCTCGTATCTTCATTTTTTTCACGTTCTCGCACACGGAGCTGTAGTCTCAATCTTCTGCTTGGTGACACAGAACCTAAGTCTGGCCCGGGCAGGGGACAGGAAGGCGGACGCAACTCCTTCCCTTGGGATGAGGTGTCAGTTAAAATCTGGAGTCACATCTACTTTAAAGAACTTGAAAATGTTCTAGATTAAGGGGGAGGTTTGGGGACCACCAGGCTGATCAATATGTGTGCAAAGGGCTTGGAGGCCCCTGAAGACAGTCGAATGGCAGAATGGGGGTGTCGATGGGGATGCGAGGTCGGCAGTCACAGCCTGCTGGGGGTGACAGGGAGGGGGGCAGTGGGGTACATTCCACAGAAAAGCAGATGCAGCCACAGCCAGAGCCACCAGGCACCTGAGGCTCCAGCTAGGGACAGGCGACAGGTGAGCGAAGCGTCTTTCATTGGGTCAGTCCAAAATGCACGTTTGTGCCACCCCAGCTGGGGCAGTAAGAGGCATCCTGGGGCTATGAGGTCTGGAGGAAGAGCCCAGGTCACATAGGACCCGTGGGTGACACTGTCCATATCCAGCTTTGCCAACCCCAAGCTCAGGGTGTGGAAGGGTAGAGGCCAAGGACCTGGTCCACTCCAGAATGTGCTCATACCGACTTCTTAAAATAAAAACAGTGGAATGTACTCAAGCAGCGGAAAGGGACACCAGGATTCAGAGAGGGACAAAGGAGGCAGGTGTCCTCGGATGATGGACGCAGGATGAGGCAGGATGAAGTCTGGGGCCCACGGGCCTCTGACGGAGGTTATGTGGTGTCTGGAGTCTTCTCTGTCCGTCTCTAGGTTCTGGGTGAATCAGGACATGCTGGAGGGCACAGGACAAGTAGGGTGGGTCAGTGTCTGAGGGAGGTGAGCTTCCACCGGAGGACTCAGAGTCAGCTACTGGCTGGCGGAGCTCTGAGCAAAGAGCGTCATGGACACCAACACTCCTAATGCAGACCAGAAGGCAGCCTCCCTCCCAGGTTAGCAGCAATGAAGACCTGTGGCCTCCTGCACTCAGAAGGTCACCTAAACATGCACCTGTGCATGTCTCATACACCAACCCACCAAATCATAACTCTATCCAACAATGTCCACTCATACACCCACACATCCACCCACCCACCCATCCACCCACCCACCCACCC